CAGCCGGTTAGTGCAGGCAGCCTTGAACTCAAAATGGTGCCACTGAGAAACCACAGGGAAGTATCAGCAAGCTTGGGAGAGAATGCCAAGCTTTGCAAAAGCACTACCAAAACTATCCATATGAATGAAAGTGGGAAACCTAGATCAAACCAAAGGGCAGAATGCTCAGTAGCCACTAAATGTACTAAACAAATAGAAATAAAAACAGAACAAGGGGTAGGCAAAAGTGAGTGGGATGCCCTGCACAGAAAGAATGGCTGGCTGGAACCCGGAATAGAAGCCATCCTGTTAGGAGGGGGACCATGCTGGAACATTTTGTTGCAGATGCCACTCTGTGGCTGATAATGCTGAACTACCTTGCAAGTGGGTTGCAAGCGTCACAACAAAAGTAGGCATAGGAAAGAGCCACTAAGTGGCAGTATTAATGTGAGTGTTTGTATTCTACTCCAGTTGCAGTGCTCACGACTAGCCTGCCTTCCCTTCCCTGTCCGCTCCCCTGCGCTTCAGTCAGCTACTTTTTCCATGATGTTCATTCATATGGCAAAGGAGCCGATCAGGGCGGTCATGTGCCTGGATACTCTGCAACACCCCGTCGCCAGCCAAATTGGAACCATATGTCTCGGTGTGCAGCGTGATTTCCGCATCGGCTTGTCACACACAATCTCCAGGCAGCTGGCGCGTTTGCAGCTGCAGGCTAGCAGGCGAGTTTGGTGCAATAACCTCCAAGTAGGTTCCACCCTAGCCTTGAAAACTTTGCCCCTGGGGCACAGGGCACTCATGTGCCTTGTCTGTGCTGATGTATCCTTCCGTTCTCCACCCAAAGAGAGCTGAACTAACTCCCATCTCGCTTCTCAAGTGGGTTTGGGCACCCCCTTCCCAAATCCAGGCTGCTAGACTAGTAAATCTGGAGAGGGGAGATGGTGTTTCATGTTCCACTGGCAGCCAGTTGTCAATTCTGGGTCTAATGCTCACTGTTCAATTGGGATTATGTGGCTGCTTCTACCTGGATCCGATCCAGCAAGACACTCCCTTTATTTATAAACTAGAGTGTACTTTCTATATCACTGAACACAGATATTAGCCTCCCCCAACCTGCTGCTCTGCAGATGTGTTGGACTACCAGTCCCATCATCCCCATCTGGGACAGTCATGAGTATCAGTGGCCTTTATTTTTACTCTTTTTCCAGGATCAGACCAGTTCAGATAAATGCAAATTTAATCAGTCAATCAGTGTTTATATATACGCCTGGTGCCGAGCTTATACTCTTTTCGGCGCCAGGTCAAAACCTTTTTATTTAAATGGTATTTTAAAATCAACAACTTTTAACGTTCAGTTGCTCTTGTTTTAGTTGTGATTTACTGTTTCATTTTATATATTATCCTGTTCCACTTTATTTATTAGCAATTGTTGTTTTGTTCTTTTAAACATCGTAAGCCGCCCTGAGATTTTTATATAATAGGACGGCATATAAAAGCTTTAAATAAATAAATAAATTTATACCTTCAGTAATAAATGGAAGATTCCACTTGGATATGGATTTCACCATTATTTGCGTCTACATGGAGTCATACCCTGATTTTTCACCCTAGAAATGGGGATTTGGATTTTTATCCCATCTGGTCCAGTCCTTGCTACCATGACCACCATGCATGGTAACAAAGTAGTAAAACTCTCTAGGGTTTCCCCTGTCAAAATTGCTTCTACAGTCCCTGCGAAAGAGTCTCTCTTGAAATATCAGAATCCGGAAGAAGACCACAAAGAAATGCATCTTGTATTTTAAACCATACAGTTTGCCAAACCTTTCTCAGGCGCCAGTGGCCTGATTTTACTCGCCATGGACAATTTGCATCCACCAGGGCTCTTCTTGGCAATCCATGAGTCATAATAAGTGTTTTATATTAGAAATAAAATATTTTATTTGGAATAAATAATGGTTGTAATAACACTGCAGTATTACCATAAATAATGTATGTATTAATACATAATAATAGTAATGAATAAATACAAGGTGGCTTCATTGAAAAGGTGCCTGTGGGCACACTTACAGAAAGAACATAATAGTTCTGCGCCAAAGCTTTGCACAGTAGCCTCTGGGAAACCCAAAGAAGAAGAAAAGGGCAACAGCCCTCTCCCAGTCCTGCATTTAGAAGCTGGTAGCTGGGAAAATAAAGTCAGTGAGAGGGGGCTGTACATGGACTGGTAAAGCTGCGCACAGCACATTTAGTTATTCATTTGTACACTGCCTCACAGCCAAAGTTCTCTAGGCTATTTACAACAATCCAATATTATACCAATATTAATCCAATACAAACGTTAAAATACAAACAGATACAATAAATATATAAAACAAAAATACACTGAAAGTTTAAAAACCTCAAACAGGTCAAAATAGGCAGACATGTGGCATGGATTGATTTTTGTCCTGTCTTGCTTTGAGGCCGTCTCTCTGTGCAATTGTGACTCACACTGGTATCCACAAGGGAATGGGAGAGACAGAAGCCAATAGTCCCCAGCATGTGTTGTAAGCATGAAAGAGTTGGCGGTGGGGGGTGGAAGGGGTGCATTGACAGACGTTGCTACATACGACTGAGCTGTGGTTCTTTCTAAGAAAGACAGACTAAGGCGTTTTGGTGCTTCATGCAAATAAAGCAAATGGTTTCTGTGAGGCAGTATAAAAAGGTACTGAATAAATAGGGCACCCCCTATATATGTCTACTCAGAAGGAAGTCACATTGCATTCAGTGAGGCTTACTCCCACTTAGGTGTGTAAAATTACACCCTTAAATTGTTGCTTGCAATGATTCCCCCCAGATCTGTGCTTG